GCAGCACAATAACCTTGAAGGAGCTAGAGGTAAGTTCGAGCTCTCTGACCTTTGGTCAACGTGGAAATAGGCTCACATTTCCAGGCCTCCACACATCTGGAGTGAGTTCTTCGTTTTTGGAACCATGTTCTCATATATTCATAACTGGTCTCCAATTCTCCTTCTACCTCCATCCATCTCCAATTGCTGGAGTTACAAACATGTGCCACCAAGTTTATGCAGTACTGGGAATTGAAAATGAAGGCTTTATGCCAGCTAAGCAAGCATCCTTCCAACTCAGCCCCTCTACATCTGTTATTTATTTTCACCACCCAGCCTCTATTCTGTCTGTCTGTCTGTCTGTCTGTCTGTCTGTATCTATCTATCTATCTATCTATCTATCTATCTATCTATCTATCTATCTATCTATCATCTATCTATCTATCTATCTATCTATCTATCTATCTAATCTATCTATATCTGTATCTATCTATCTATCTATCTATCTATCTATCTATCTATCTATCTATCTATATCTGTCTCTATCTATCTATCTATCTATCTATCTATCTATCTATCTATCTATCTATATCTGTCTCTATCTATCTATATCTATCTATCTATCTATCTATCTATCTATCTATCTATATCTGTATCTATCTATCTATCTATATCTGTCTCTATATCTATCTATCTATCTATCTATATCTGTATCTATCTATCTATCTATCTATCTATCTATATCTGTCTCTATCTATCTCTATCTATCTATCTATCTATCTATCTATCTATCTAATCTATCTATCTGTACTGGGTATTGAACTCAACGTCTTGCGCATGCTAGGCTAATATTCTGCCACTGAGCTACATCTTCAGTCCTTAAAAGAAATACATTTATTTATGCGTGGGCATACATGCCATGACGTGTGTGGAGGTCAGAGGACAACAGGCAGGAATCAGTTCTCTCCTACTTTGTAGATCCTGGGAATGCAACTCAGGTCATCTCTGAGCCTTGGAAATAACTGCCTTTACTTGGTGAGCCACTTCACCAGTCCCTCCAAACCTTGTTTCTTGAAACACAGCTTACTAGGTAGCCCAGGCTGACTTGAAACTCATGACTCTCCTGATTCTGCTTTCCAGGTGTTGGGGTTATAGGTGTGTACTACCACACTCAGTTAGGTGATGCTTTCATAAACATACTTTGTGTATGCACTATTTATTTATTTTGAATTATTTATTTAGCAATTATGATGCTTTAAAAATATGTTTTTAGGTGTGTACCTTCACGCCCGGCAAACTTTTGTTTATACCACTGTTTTGCTTGCATAGATGTCTGTGTGCTACATGCATCTAGTACCTTCAGAGGCCAGAAGAGGGCATCAGACCTTTTGGAACTGGAGCTAGAGATGGTTGTGAGCCACCGTGTGCATGCTGAGACTCAAATCTGAGTCCTCTGGAAGAGCATCCAGTGCTCTTAACTACAGAGCCATTTCTCCAACTGAACAACTGCTCTTGGTAGTGTGATTAATAACTTTGGGTCCAACATCCAACATTCTTTCCTTCCTTCTATTGAGTTCCAAAGATGTCACTGCTTTTCATACACAATGGAAAGAGGCAGACATGTCCCATAATCCGAATGAAGTCCTCTTCACACAGAAAGGGACTCTCTGTACAAGACTAATATGATCTGTGTTATCATCATCATTGGTATCATTTATTCACTCAATGAACACATGGCCAGGTTATGGGCAGATTCCTTGGATAGGTGAAAGGCCATAAAAGAGAGACAGGGACTTTCAAACAGGAGTGCCGGATGCTGGTTTATCTACAAACCTTTCAAGTGGATTTTGTATGTTTCTTATGCACCATCTGGAATTCACATATGGGTTAAATGAGGTATTTTTTTTCTCTCTCTCAAGAGACAGAAATTATGTCAACCTAATATTTAGCATTTAAATATACAAAGTTTTATAGATGTTATAGCAATGCCCTACAAGAAGGGAGATCATGGGCTTCAAAAAATTTATAAAAACGCCTGCTTTGTGCTCTATTAAGAAGGCAGTAATGTCATGGTAATTGATTTGACTTTAGAGGCAAGGAGAGAAATCTTATTTTCATTTTTTTGAGACAGGGTTTCTCTGTGTAACAGTCCTGGCTGTCCTGGAACTCACTTTATAGACCAGGCTGGCCTTGAACTCACAGAGACCCACCTGCCTCTGCCTCTCTAGCTGGAGGGGGAGGGGAGGGAGGATTAAAGGCATGTGCTATCACACTCAGTATTAAGGGGAGAAATCTTAAATCAGTGACTTTTTGTTAGAGTTATGGAAGCCGAATATTTATATTCTCTTTTCATGTAAGATAGAAGATAATAATTAATAATAATTATATTTATTTACATATACACAGTCAAGACATGAGATGGAATATGTGTCGTGTTTAAGTGTATGGGCCACTTTCTGTATGATGTCAGAAGACAACTTTGGGTTACAGTCTCTGCCTTTCCCCTTGAGACAGGGTCTCTTATTGTGTACGTAATATGTACAATCATGTGCATCAGTTACCTCTTGAATTCTAGAGATTCTCCTGTCTCTGTCTCCTATGTTGTCACTGGAACGCTGGCATTGCAGATAACTGTGTAACTGTGTCCAGCTTATGCGTGGGACCTAACTAGGGTCATCAAACTTCCACCATAATGCTTTCAATGCCGAGCCATTTCCCCAGCTGCCACACTAAACACCAGGCACATTCTGTCTTCAGCTTTCACTTTTCCACTGATGCACCTGAAGTCTCCGCTGGTCTCTCTGTCTCTTTCTTTCTCCTTTCCACTTGGTAAGAATAGTGCTCCTCTCTCTCCTGCACGATTTGTGGAGGGAACGAGGTGGCAACACCTTCTCAAGCTGTTTGATTGACAGCAGAGCGAATGCTTTCTTCAGGAAACCACCCCAATCATTGTCAAGCTATTTGGACCTAGGTGTTCTGCTGACAGCTAAGTCCTCTCTGGTTTTCCTTGGAATTAAAGGAGAGCAGTAAAGTATTTTTCCCTCTTAATTTTAACCTTTATGAACGAGACATCAGAAAGTCTGTTATTTAAAATTCACAGCTACCAAAAGTCTCATTTCCATTTAGTTGAGAATATGAGACACAAGGGTCACCCAGGGGCAGCAGCCCACAGGACAGGAAATTAATTCTAAGCCTCGTAGTACCAGATGGTGGCGTCCTTTAAAGGCAATAGTGCTTATCTTTTCCAAGGTAGTCAATATGATAAGCTCCCAAGTGTACACACACACACACACACACACACACACTGCAGTACCATAGCTGCTGTCTCTGAACATACATGCTCCACTATTTTTTTGCATACAGGATCCAGTCCTCCCATTCCCAAGCACATCTGCATGGCAGGAAAAATGAAAATGAAAAATGAGCACAGGCAGGGCCTAGGAAACAGGAGAGAGAAGGGTTGGCTCCCTCAGAGCCTGGCTCGTTCTGCTTTAGGGTCCTCCCCAGAGGAGAGGATTTAGTTACAAATCTGTGTTCTCCTTCCATCCCCACCCCGCTTCCTAATCCTATGACTTTAGGGGAGTCCTTTACACAGTCCTTAGTTCTTTCCTTAAAAAGGAATCTTGTCACATGATTTCTCAGGTCATTCCGATGATCACAGCAGAAATAGCACCAGAAGGCAGCAACTTGAAATCCCCAGCCAGTGTCAGGTCTTATTGCATTCGTCACCATCACCCCACCCCAGTTACATCGTCAGGTTGGCTGCCTGATTCAGGTCTCATCTGCATGGTCTCCTTGTTTGAGAAGTCGCCCTTCCCATCACTCTCTTCACCCCAGTGTGTTTCGGTCAAGATACCTCACATGTGAAATGGTTTAATGGTTTCTTTGCTAACCTGTTTATTGTTTTTTTCTCCCTTTACAGAGGAGAGAGGCTATTGTGGAGGCTAGAGGTAGATAGAGGTCTTTCTCAATTGCTCGCTACCATATTATTTGAGATGGTCTCTCGTTGAACCTGGACCAGAATCTGGAGCTGGGTTAGACTGGTTGGCCAGCAAATGCCCAGATATGCTGTTTCTGCCTCCAGCTCTGGATTGCAGGTGAAGAACAGGGTTTTGTTTTGTTTTTCAGTTTTGTTTGTTTGCTTTTTTTTTGGGGGGGGGGGTTGGTGATCAACCTGTGTTTACATAGCAAGCATTTTACAAATTAATCTGTCTCTCTATCTCAAAAGCTTTTAGGGGGCAGAGCTCCTTCTTGTATTCCTGGGGACAATTCACAGACGTTACAGTCCTATCTGTGTCCCTCTCCCTCTGATCCTCATGCCCCAACCCTGGCTGACATGTAACCACTTGTAGAGCAGACTGGCCTTGAATGCATAGAAATGGGAAGCCTTTGCCTCCCAAGTGCTGGAATTAAAGGTATGGGTGACCATGCCTGTCACACAGTACAGTATCGATCAGTCCAGATTACAGATGCTAAGAGCAAAGACAGCTTAGACGTCAAGGCAGAGATCAAACCCAGGACTCTGTTCCTGTTAAGCAAACATTGTGCCCCTAAGCTACAGTCCCAGCCTTTCAACGCCAGTTTCTCAATTAGCTAGTTGACAATGGGCAAGTTCTTTCCCAGGTGTCTAAGTCCGGCACAGTATTTAATACAGAGAATAACTGGAAGGTTGTTTTCTACTCTTCAATGAGTTAACTGTTAATATACTAATAATGAACGTGACCCTATGCTATGCTTTGCTGCTTCGAGCTTGCCAAATGACCCATTCTTTTTTTTTTTTTTTTAAATAGTTCAATACAGTTTAACTTTGGTACAATGTAAATGACCCATTCTTTTATCACCCCAGGGCACAGTGTCAACCGGTTCGCCCGCAGGAGCTAAGCGGAAGTGGAGGTCGGTTCCTAGTTCCGACAGGGCGCTCAGCCACCTACAGGTGTCACTGCTCCGGGCTCTCCCAGTCGGGGACAGACGAGCCTTTTCTGGATTGTTCTCTCGGGAAGGGAAGTCGGGAAGCCCACGCCGCGGCTGTGTGGATAAAGGACACTGGAGCCCCGGCCGCACGGCTTCCTTGAACTCACGGAAGGAAGGTGGGGGACTCGTGGTTGTGGACCACAGAGGGCAGGGGAGGCGCGGCGAGGGGCGGGTCCAGGGGCGGAGCTAGACGATGGGCGTGTCGGTGCGCACGGTCAACGCGCGCCCGGCTCGAGGCTCCGCAGTCTGGACGTCGCCCGGTCCCGGCTTGGCTCAGCCCGCGCTCTGTCTAGGTAAGGACTCAGGGACTCCTGGCGGGGTGGACCGGACGGGGTGCGCGCCCATGGAGGTGGCATCCACCTGCTGGAGGCTGACTTTAGTGGGATTGGGAAGAATCTTCTGTCTTTTGTGTAGAGGTGAGAGTGGGCTCTCCGCCTCAGGTGAGTGACCCGTCCTCTTCGGCCTGGAAGAAGGGACCAGTGCGCTCCCCTGATGGCCGCGCCTTCCCTGTGGCTGCAGCCTCTCTCCGGGCGCCCGATGTGAGCTCCTTTGGACTTGGTTTCTGAGGTGAAACCACTCGCTGTTGAGTTTCCTCCCCAGTAGAGCAGCAGGCTGCTTTTCTCCTCTGCTTGTCCCGCGGGAAAGTTAGAATTCACGAAGATGGGTCCACAGTTGCCTGTGCCGAGTGCGTCACCCCGTCAGGTGCACTTATTTATTTATTATTTATTTTTCCACCCTCTGGGAAGTGGTATTTGGATCTTGATAAACAGGGTCGGAAGAAACTATGTGGACCTTGTCCCAGGACGGTGCAATCTTCGCTGGATCTTAAATTTCTTAACTTTTTCCTGTCATTGGCAAATAACAGTTATGCGTTTATGTACCGGGTCCCATGTTGGGCCAGTCTTTGGGAACTGGAATATTTGATTAGACGAGTGGATCTCAGTGTTAAGTTGGAACAACAGGGTGGCTGATGGGTAAGTGGGTTTGGAGGCTCACCAGCATAGTTGTGTGCTTTAAGCTATGCCTTAACATTTTTCCAGTGAGTTCCCATTTTCCTCTTAGGAAACTCTGACAATCTATCCCCTCCCCAGATAATTCTCTTTTACAGAGCTAGGGAGTGGTAGGAGGAAGCACCAACGTATCAGCAAGCCTCCCAAGCATATTGTGGGGTTTAATAGATTAGTTAACGACACTGGTCGCTCTTTGGTCTGCAGGACTCAAATGTAATGTGGAATAGCTTGGTTTCTCTGGGGAGAGGTGGATAGAAACGTGGCTAAACTTATACATAAAGTATTTAGAAGCATTCTTTTTGTTCAGTTATGTTTTCATTGTTTAGGAAAGGCTTGTCCTTTCACTAGGCTCTTACTAATCAGATCGCTATTCCTGTCTTTGACAACTCAGGGTGCTTTCTGTGCTGTGTTTATGTTAATGGCCCCCATTCTTCCCACAAGGGTGTGTGCTTTCTGGCTTGTGGAACTGTGTGGGACAAGTATTGTAAACACATGCAAATCAATGCTATGCTCTAGTTGGCAATACCTTTGCCCTACATGGATCTTTGGCCTAGAATTTTCCTCTCTTCCCAAGTAGGAAAGAATCTAAAGTATGGATGTATGTTTTAGCGTTGCCAAACTGTAAAGTTTCCTTACTTTAGTCTGCATTAAGTTGTTCAGAGCAGGGCAGGGGCTATGTTTTTATGAAACCTGTAATGATCAGTAGATGGTCACCTTCTCCCTTACAGTTGATCGTTAAAGAAGATTGGAGAGACTGTGGACAATTACTGGTCTGTTTGTATTCTTCAAGAAGAATGACTAGCCTTCTTGCCTTCCTCCAGGCGCCTAGGGTGCTGGGAGATTGATTAGTCTTTGGGCCTCTACACACACCTCTGCCTACAGGTTCTCCAGGCTGCTCTGGTTGGTGCCTCCCTTCCTTGCCCTGCCTCTGTTCTTCTAGATTTTGGCATCCACTTCATTCCTCCCTGGGTCTTGACTCCCATCTGAGGGAGATCATTTGTTGTCTACAGCATTAGTAAGAGCACTGATACCCAGCGTGGTACTGGCTCCCCTGTGGATGCTCGGGAAGTGTCTGTTGATGGCATTGCCCCTGTTTAGGGCCCTCGTAAGATGCTCTCTCGTCTTGACCAGTGTACAGCAGGTGAAACAAAGTCTTTCAAGTTGAATACGTACCAACAGTTTTGGGAGACAGCAGTATTGGTTCAGTTAGGGTCCTCAGTGGAACATCCAGGTCTGTAAAAAAGGAATGAAATTGACCTGTGATCATTAGCAGTGGGAAGCTTATCTTGCTCAGTGTGATTATGCTATTAGAAGAGCTCTGTTGGGAAAAAAAACAACCACAAGCCACCTAGAGGAGAGGGTTTAGAGGATATTTTTCCATCCATGCTTGCTTCCACCAAGGTCTGCCTTTTTATCTCTGCCTGGGTCAGCCAGTCCTTCCTTGGGTTGGTGTGTAACTATTAATTTCCACTCTGTGTTTTACTCTATAGAGCTCAGATGACCTAAGTTACCATGAAACAGAGGTTGAAAGTTACAGTTTTTTTTTTCTTTTGAGAGATAAAAGGAAGGAATTAAAAACAACAAAACCAAACCGAACCCCACAAACAACTAGGTTACCATTGGGGAAGCAAACACATGTAAGTGTAAATATATGTAGGCCCAGAATGTGGGCTTGTGGACGGCTAGGTCAGGGTAGGCCACAGTGTTAATGGTAGGTCGATAGTCACAGCTAAACCAAACACAGATTTTTGTGTTCCTTGGAATTAATAACTGTTTGACTTGTGTGTGTGTGTGTGTGTGTGTACTTCTCATTAATTTAATCCACAACCCTTGACTAGTTAGTTTTCTAAGCCTTCCCTTAAAGGAATCAGGTCTTCTGCTAATTTCATTTTTCCCAGGAAGCTGAACCTGAACTTCCTGGCTTACAGTACTCTGGAGAGGTGGACTTCCATTTATGGGGACAGCTCTCACCCTGAGGCTGTCCTGTCACTGAGAATCCTGGGACTCTCCCATTCCCTCTTCCCTGTGGTCCATCTCCTGGTATCCATGCAACTTTCTTTATTTTGGTGGACTCTTCAGAACTTTCTGGAAAAGGATGCATGGGATGTCGAATCTTTCTGGGACTAAAAATGACTGAAGATACCTGTTTCCCCCTCAAAATTTGTAGATTGGCTGAGTGTAGAATTCTGGGGTGGAAATTTCAGAGGGTGGGTATTATCCAGGATCTTCTAAATTGTGACCTTCTGGGTCCTTAATCTTTATGCCCAGCCTGAGTAGAGGCCCTAGCCCTGCTGTGCTCTTCTGTGGGCTCTGACATATTTTCTTGTTCTCCACCATCTTCTCTGAGTTTCCTGGTGCTGTGCCTTGATCTGCCTTTGTTTTCATCTCATGTCCCGGGCCTTTGAGTCTGGGAATTTTTAGTTTGGGAAACATTCTTGAATTATTTCATTGGTGATTTTTTTTTCCTGTTTCTCCTATTTGTTGTTTTACGTTAGGTATTTTAGATCAATCCTCTTAGTTTGTACCTTACGTAATTTATGTCTTGTTATTTCCAAAATCTTTTGAGAAGATTTTTCTCAATATTAGTATCCATTCTAACATTGAGTTTTTCAATGTCTTTAACATTGTTACTCTTGTATTATTATTATTATTGTTGCTATGTAGTTTATGCCAGCCTAAAATTCACTTGCTATGTAGTTCATGCCAGCCTAGGCTGGCTCAAAGGCCATTCTCCTCCTGCCTTAACCTCACAAGGGCTGGAATTACAGGTGTGTCACCGTATCTGGTTCTAATAATGCTTTTAGCATTTTGAATTTAAAAGTTTTTTTTTGTTGTTGTTCTCCAAGTAGGTACAGTTGGGCACTCTGTGTGTGTGTGTGTGTGTGTGTGTGTGTGTGTGTGTGTGTATACACTTCTTTTTATTTTTTGCTTTTAGGATCTTATCTCTGGGGAACCGATTGACTTTTGACTTTTGGTCTAGAAGTGTGCCTTCCCTACCCCACAGTCCTGGGGTTTGCAAAAGTGTAGTGAAAACAGGCAGTGTGTTGGGGTGTTCCTTCTGGTCTGGTTGCCCTGGGTTACCCAGCAAGCTGAAGATGTGGGTTAGCTTGTTGGCTTTAGTTTCTTCTTAAGCTGATTCAACTGGACCTCCCAAGGCAGGCTGGGCTGGGCCAGGTGCAAAGTCTGTGGTGCCGTGACTGGGCCTTTTCTAGTTCTTTTTGATGTGTGGGTGTGACATTTACGTTTTTCCTGGAGATGGGCAATGTATGTGACACGAGTGTCCAAGGTGCTATTTTTCTGGTAACTCTCTGGCCTTGGACTGTTGTGTTGTCCTTGTGGTCAGATCAGGGCGATCTCCGATATCATTGCTGGTCTGGTGCGAGGGACCAGAGGGCTCTTCTGGTCTTCTCAGGGCTGAAGGAGTGCCTAGCTCTCACAGTTGCGACGAGGCTGGATGTGGAGTCTCAGAATCCTTTCGTGCTGCTTGTCCAAACTTGACCTGAAGGTAGAGAAGAGCCTCCACTTAACTTCTCCACGTTGGTGAAGGGATGTTGGAAGGTCCAGCTGACTTTTTTCTTTTTGTAGTGTTGGGAATGGAACCCAGAACCTTGAGCACGTTAGATGCTCCCTCATCCTCACAGAACTAAGCTTTCTGAATAGAGTCTAGTTAATCCCCTTGCCTTTTAGCTCCTTCATCTAAGAGTATGTGTTCAATTGTTGTCTTCTCCTCACCTTACAAATGTGTCTAGTGTTGTGTTCTCTCTCTCTTTTCTGATTTATACATCAATGGAAAAATACTTTTCTCTCTCAATTGATTTTATTGGGATTTCAGTGAGGGGTGGGTGTAGTAGGAGCTGCGGGTAGCATTCCTGCCGCCCGGCTCCCAGCCGCCTGGCTAGCTTATGCCCCAAAATAACAATACACAAACTGTATTCATATAAACTCTGCTTGGCCCATTTCTATTAAAGTATGTAGCACCCCAAGGTGTGCTTACTGGGAAGATTCTAGCCTACATCCATCTTGGGTCGGAGCTTCATCGCGTCTGCCACAGAGAGGAGAGGAAATGGCGTCTTAACTCCCTTCCTCTTCCTCCCAGCATTCTGTTC